CGTTTCTTAACATTCACGTCAACGAACCCAATGAATAATGCCAGCGGGTCAATAGCCACTGAGGTGACAACCCTGATAAAAAAAAATTACGATATCGCAAAGGGATATCCACAACACTAAAGGATTGTTGCATGTGCTTTTTCTAAGTGAAATCTCCCCTTTATGTATTTTACTCTTTAATACCAAACTGCTAATTTCGCGAGATCTCGAAATTGGCGAGATCTCGTTGTATTGTTAGTAAAAAACTCGCGAGATCTCGCTTGAGCCCCAATCTCCCTAGACATAAGGTGTGTTAACTCCGCTTTTTTGACGAGTTTACTCAGCTAGTTTGCCATCTTGACTAAACTTTCGCACAAATTTTTACGATATTCTGTCAAAAGTATACCTCCATATAAGCGATCCATTTAGTCGCGCTTTTTAGGAGCTTATATGGAGGTCTTTTTACTTGTCAACTAAACAGTTGAAAGAGCTGCGAAAATCGACAGTTGTGCGATTATTTGGTCAGATGTGTGCGCGCTATATTAATTGAAACTATATTTTACAATCGCATACGACTAGAACACAAATGTACAGACGGCATATTAAAATGTAAAGACAATGACTCGTTCGAATGCGTTCAATGCAAATTCAATGTCTCAAGGACTCAAGCATTGCTTTTTTTGTGTGTATTCTCGCACGGCCAGACGACTGGTAGACGCATTTTTGGTACTTACGTTTAGTTGTTACTATGTCCACGGTTATAACAGCCTGGCAGAGGGAGATTTTCAACGTTTGTAAATTTTTTATGTGGGTTTATATGTATATATACTAACATATAGATATAGAAAAGAATCTATAGATATACAAACCCCCAATCTATACTATTATAATAAAGCGTAAACACACACTTCTTTGTTACCTAAGATGTCAGCAATTACAGCACATTTTTGAACAATTCTTTTTTTAATAAAAAGCCCTACACTTACGTCACGCTTTAGGCTATATATTATCGCGCCATTAAACTGAGGGGGTAAATGTATTGGATAAAAACCCTAATGTGGGAAAGAGACCATAAGTTGCTGCCAACATCAAGGAAGCAAGATTGTCAAAGTTTGTCATGTCATGTCATTTTGACATTTGAAATTGATAATTTGACAAATGTAGACAATGCATTTCATGCGGATGAAGCCGCACGGGAACAGCTAGTATATCTCTACATTTATAATTTACTGACATTCGTATTTAAAGCACCAAGCAGTAAACTTCAGAAAACCATACGTTTATGGTTTCAGTTTAGCTATAAAACTGGGCGCATTCTCAGACAAGGCGTCAGCTAGTCTTTGACTATAAAGTAAATGGACTTGGAAAATTCCGCCGATGCACTAAATATTGTCAGTTTTCGTAAATAACAAGTAATATAATAAGTTACAATTCCATTTTTAATAGCAAACGGAGTTTAAAAAAATACAGAAAATGCTACACAAGTTTAGAACTTCTTCTTCGTTTTAACGAAGATAACGCGAGTCCTGTCTCTTTATCTTCTAAGTTTAAAGTTTAACGTTTTGACGGACAGTTATGACTTACACATGTACTTATTTTTGCACACAAAGCTTTTGCACAGTTGGTACACATTTATTTGTTCCTAAAACGTACAGTACAGTACAGTACAGTCGGGGCAACTGGCGTTCCAACTTAAAAGTACAAATAACTATCATACATCTTCTCAGTCATCACTCCCTTCTTGAGCATGTCACCTTTCACGCAATCTATTCATCTCTTTCTAAGTCTACCTCTACCGGTGTACCTCCACAATCATAACTAATGCCCTTCTTAACCACTCTAAGCTTTTACTCCTTAATTTCACAACCACTGACAACTAATTAATTATTTAACGGCTTACTCATGTCATACTTTTTTCCGGAGACGGCACCGACCAGTTTCAGACCCTGCGGGGGTCCTTCTTCAGGGCGAGGGTTAAAGATGTTGTATCGCGGTCGCGTCGCGCCTCGCACTCACTCTCTTACTCTCTACTCTCGACCGCAATACAACAACTTTAACCCTCACCCTGAAGAAGGACCCCCGCTAGGTCTGAAACTGGTCGGTGCCGTCACAAGCCGTAAGCCGTTAAATTATTAATTATAAAATGTCTCACGAAAGTTTAAATAATTCACTGACAACTAAGTTTAAATTTATATTTAACAGTGGTAGTGCTCGCTTTACCATCTTTGTATATATAGGCGGCTCGCCCGGTGAAATACCACGACCACACAGAAGACAGGGATAAAGTGGGAGCAATTCCGCGTTTCGTCTGATGAGTGTGTTGTCGGAGACCCAACTTTATTCCTTTTTCCTTCCCACTCTTTTTCTTATATGAAAACAATGGGAACGGAACGTGGATTTGACGGTGGAGGAGTCGCATAGGAAGATCTTCTTTATGTGCGTCTCCTCCTCCGTCGATCAAGGGTAGGCAACGCATCCGCTATAGCGAATGTCTATGGGCAGCGGTCGCTTCGCCATTTTGGCGGATTCAGGTGTCCGCTTGCTCGTTTGCCACCTTATGTTATAAAAACAAAATTTTATGCCGTTTATTTGTAAGACTGTTAAACGTTTCGCAATCCATAATTATCTTGTTATCTCTTAAAGTTATTAATAAATCCATACAATGATACATTTAATTATTATCATAATTTATACACTCTCCTGTCAGAGATATGTTAGTAAATTTAAACACAGACATACGGACAGACAGTTCGCGATAAAACGTTAATTAGTATTAATTAGATATTGCGCGTTTTAACGATTTTCGTACTTAAAATAGTCTGTTATTTGTTATTTCGAAAGTACTGATTTAACACAAGAAGTATCGTTTAAAAGTAAGTTTTCTTTATATCTAGCAATTTAATCTCATTATAAACTACGAGTACTAGCTGTTTCCGTCTGGCTTCGTCCGCATGGAATTATAAAAACTTTATTGTTTACATTTGTCAAATTTTCAATTGCAAATGTCGAAATTATCGTTACCATAATAACTTGCGTCCTTATTGTTGGCAGCTTGTAGTTTATGGTCTCTTTCCCATATGAAATTTTGATGCAATTCATTTACCCCCTAAGTTTGATACCGTGAAAATATGTAGCCTAAACCGTGTTGAAGTGTAGGGCTTTTTATTAAAGAAAGAATTATTCAAAAACATGTTATGATTGCTGACATCCTACGCCACAAAGTAGTGTGTTTACGCTTTATTACATTAGCATAGATGTAGAAAGAATTATTATTGATAAATTGTCTAGTTTACATGTCTAATGCCGGGTTTCTGAAGTTTTTATTTTGTCATTGCCTAGCGATTCATGTAAGTGTGTAAGACCGAACTTACTTTTAACGGAGTTAAGCTATATTTACGTATTTCAGAAACGCATTTCATGAATTTATCGAAACAAAAATACTAACGAATAGTTACACATAGCTGGGAAAGCATTAGAAACATTTTTTAAGACTAAGGTGACGTTAACAATTCTACGGTAACATATAGTATATTTCTTACTGCATACATGTTGCAGGAGACAGTGCGTCTTGTATATGAATATATAATTACTATGCAGCACACGTACAGTCTAGACAATCGTTCTGTATGCAAATAAAAACAATTGTAAAGTGGTTTTCGGCAATACATTTTGTATTCAATAATTGAAGTAACTGTTAAGGGGAAGGATGATTATATCTTACTAATGTTATAAATGCGAAAGATGGAAGTTTGTTAGATTATGACATACATATAGAGCATAGTCTGGAAGAACACATAGGTTATACACTTTTTTTTTATTCCAAGTAATTTATATTTAGATAATTTAGATGGATGTTTGTTATTGCATATCTCCAGAACGGTTCAACGGATTTCCCTTAAAATTGACGTAGATATCGAACAAAGTCTTGAAGAACACATAGGCTACTAATTAAAGACGCGGACAACAACTAGTGTAATCCAAAGCGGCGACGCATCTGTGTTTCCTCTAGCACTGCGCACGCTATTGGCAAATCAACTATTAGTCGAATAGCAGCTAGCTTGTCTGCTTTTTCTGTACAAAAATATAGTTATCTCTTTCTTTTCAAAGAGAATGAACGAGGTGATGAAATGTTTAAATGTTTTTTAAAAGTTTCAGCAATGAAAACTCACGTTAAAAATTAGTAAAGATTTTTTTTTACTATTATTTTAATAAGGTTAGATTTCATTTTATTAAATTGATGCCATTTTCATTATACACAGAAACTAATAAGACGCAAAATAACTACTTTAAAATTGTTCCAACTTGGCCTTAACAGTCCCAAAATACAACGGCCTTATAAAATTAATAATTCAATTGCTTGCCTAATTTCCACGTCTAGACTATTGTAATGTCTAGGCAACCTTTTTAGAAGTCTACGCTTCGATTGCATACGTCTGGGACATGCAAATTTGCATGCATTGAATTCTTTAAGGAATCCTCAGACAAAAGCCTCGATTACGTCATTGAACATTCTAACCTTGGGTTTACACAACGATAATACTTGTCGAAAGATCTAGTCATTTCATTCTCTTTAACAAAACAGATATAAAAAGTTTTAGAGACTGTGGAATCCGACTGTCATTTGAAATATTGTACCTAGTTTTTGAGGTTAGTTACGTGTCAGGATAATAAGCAATTATTTCATTCAATTTATTATTCAAATCAAAATTATCTTAAATAATTCAATTAATGACAGAAAATAATAAAGAACCTTTCAAGATTGAACAATAATTAAAAAGACAAAAATAACGATAAAGAACAGATAATAAAAGAACACAAAAACTTATTTAAACTAAAAAATATTACAGTCAAAATGTTTCTATAAATCTATCAAATAAATTATTATGAAGTAAAGTAAACAATAATCAATTAAAAATTTCCAATTCATGTTTTTTTAGAAAATCTGACTTTTTAGATAAAATCAAACGAAGTTTTGCTTTGAAAGATTCTTATGTTGTCAATCAATTTGTACTAAAAACGTCTCACAAGAAAGTGGACCAATAAACAACATTCAAAATGAAGAAAGAAAACGGAAAGAAGAAGCGAGAGAATCGATCGATGTATACAGCTGTCTCCCTCCCGTTGCAGAAAGTCTCGTATTGCGGAAGCGAGGCAGATGTACTCGCCCGAGGGTCGACAGAATTCGGGAATATGTGCTGTAAAAAGCAAAATCCATTTTAGTGCCACACAGGGTCACCTCACACCTTTGACAACTATCGCACAACTGTTTAGTCGCACACACCTTGATTCTTAGTTGTGCAGTAAACAATTGAATTGGCTACGAAACAATAGACAATCGTACCACAGTTGTGCGATAGTTAGTACGTGCAGTTATATTATACCTTAAATGCATCCAAATCTCTAGAAAGATCTTCATCAGAGTATCCTTTCATAGCTTTAGTGGCGACAGGACCCATGTAGTTATTGACGACCGCAAACTCAAACAGCGAGAGAAACACGAACACAGAACAAGATGACATCCAGACATCTATCGCTTTCACATAAGATACCGGCGGTAAACTTTGTTGTGATTGAGTATTTTGCGTTGCTGAAACAAATTACATCTTAAAATTGCAATAATTTTTATTCAGCACTAGCTGTTCCAATGCGGTTTCATCCGCATGAAATTTTGCTTGATGTTGGCAGATTGTAGTTTATGGTCCCTTTCGAACATGAAGGTTTTTTTCCAATTTATTTACACCCTAAGTTTAATAGCGTGAAAATATATAGCCTAAGTCGCAAGTGTAGGGCTTTTTATTAAAGAAAGAATTATTCAAAAATATGCTACAATTGCTGACATCTTACACCACAAAGTAGTGTGTGTTTACGCTTTATTATATTAGTATAGATGTATTCGAGTGTGTTCGGAACATTTTAGACTCCATTATTTCAAACTTTATGGGTATTTTATCGGTCAAATAAACTCTTTCCTGGTCTTACCCGACTATAGATGTCAGGATGGTACTTAATACTCTAATTAGACAAAGTATTTGTAGCAAAAAAAATATTAAACTAAAACCAAATCTCACGTATTTTTCTCTAAATTAGTTAGTAGATTTTTTAAATTAGTTGTTCGTCACACTAGAGACTATCGAATGAAGTGTTCAAATGGAATCTTTAAGAAATTATTTAAATAATTAGGTATAGGAGTATAACTTGCAAAAAAAAATCTGTTTAGGCGAAGCAGTCTTAATTCTTATCCCTTATGAACTTAAATATCCCCTTATTAGTAACTTAAACTCATTTTACACTGATATCTGAATAAAAAATTAACATGTTTCAAATTAACATACCCAAAGTAAGCAACGAAGTGACCCCCAAGGTGACCCTAGCGGGTATGGCTTCAGGTTTGATCCAGAAAGAGATCCAAGACATGACGACGATCAGAGCCGAGGGTATGTACGTGTGGAACAAATGGTAACCCAGACGACGGCGTAGGTTGAATACCACAGCCAGACATGTGAAATTACCTAAAAGAAAATGCATTTAAAACAGTATAAAAATAGTTCTATCAACCGTACTCGTAAACACTTAAACATAGAAGCATGGTCCTTTAGTATAGATTTTTAATATTAAATAAAAAAAACATACGAATTGTAAATGCACCATATAACGGATAGTACAACTAACGCCATCTATCACTAACACTTAACAAACATTTAAAATTAAGAAAATGCATAATCTTATAAATTTTAAAAGATAACTCTAAATACCTATTCTTTGTACCTCCTTTCCCTATATCTATACTTATATTATAAAGAGAAAAGATTTGTATTTTAAAAATTCCTTCACCATTAGAAAGGTTTATCTGTGAGTATTTTGTACTAGCTTCCGCCCGCGACTTATTCCGCGTGGAATTAAAAAAAAACGAAAGAAAGTAGCCTATGTTTTCTTCCAGATTATGTTCTACTTCTATGTCAAATTTTATCAAGATCCGTTCATCCGTTAAGGCTACAAACTCTAACATCCATTCATCCATCTAAACTTTCGCATTTATAATATTAGTAAGATTATTTTGTAATTTATTCAACCTGTGGAATATTCGATAGTACAATCACTGGTGTAGTTGTTAGAAATGTCAAGTTGCGGCAACTCGATGTCCGGGTTCACCACCAGCGGGTCTGTTAGGTTCCAAATGAACACTAGGTCGTGCACCGTGTGAGATACTGAAATGAAAATACATTTAAATGAGGGCGAGGTTTTAAACGAATACAGATCTCTATATTCGGCGAATTCAGGTAGTTGCTTGTTCCATCATAAGATAAATTATGGAATTATGAAGAATGATGATTAGAATAAAAATATATTTATTAGATAAGCTACTGACTTTTGCTCGTGACTCCGTCCGCGTGGTAAAAAAAAACAAAGTAAGTAGCCTATGTTCCATATAATGCTCTATATCTGTGCCAAATTTCATCCAAATCCGTTTAGCCGTTTATGCCACAAACTCTAACAAACATCCATCGATCCATCCAAATTTTCACATTTATAATATTAGTTAGATAAGATAGTTAAGCTATACTATTCTTCGTAAATTCTAAAATAATTAATTTTCACTTAAAATTACGAAATTACTAAAGGTACTTACAACTCTCAATCATCATTGAACAGCTTTGAGTATCGTGAGGGTATGATTCAAATTTCATTGCGCACGATAAAACCAGAGTTAACCTGGAAAATGTAAAGAAACCATAGTCAAAACCAGACATTTAAGAAATATATAGACTAGGCATAATGAAGAAACTTCGGTAATTTTTTTTTTATAACACAAGGTGGCAAACTAGCAAGCGGCTACCTGAATCCGGCAAAATGGCGAAGCGATTATCCGACAGAGGAGGAGATGCACATAAAGAGGATATTTCCCCTTCCCATCCTCTCCTTATGAGAAAAGAGTGGTAAAGAGAAATGGACTTAAATTAGGCCTCCGGCACCACACTCATCAGACGAAACACGGAATCGCTTCCATTTCACTCCTGTCTTCTGTGTGGTCGTGGTATTACACCGGGCGTGCCCTGCAGTGCTAAGATGTTAAAGTTTTCTCACAGGAAATATATATCAGATGTCAAGTTTAGTGCCACCTCGAGTCCTTGAGTTGACATTTTACAAAATTGTAATAAGCTGCATCTATTGGTTTAAATAAACAGTACCACAAAATAAAATATAAACAATTAATTTAAATACAATTTAGAGTTTGTCAACAGATAGCGTTAGTGATGATTATGTGAAAAATGTTTCAAGTGAAATGTCTATGCCTACTCTTTTTTTTAAATCTCTGGTGGAAACACGCATTGCGTATATAATCCTACTGTACTAGTGGAAAAAGGGTCTTACTTAGACATATAAAGCAGCGTCTTATCGTGGTACAGCCAAAGATAATGGTTTGGTATGCTCATCTCGTGGAAGGTGACTTTCTTGGCGTTTTTAAAGAAGCAATCAGGTCTCCAGATGTTGTTCAGCCAGGCCACGTCCAGGATACGGTACTCCTCGTGCATATTCTCTGGTAAACGGAGTCGAGGGTCGCGCCAGGATTGAGCTAGGAATATATCAGCTACGTATGTCTGGAAAAGAAATAAAAAAATATTCAGAAGATATCGTATAAATGGTCGCCTATAACATTCCCGCGTGCATCTACTTTTTACCAGCCACCTTCCAGTCAAAGGCCCGTCCAAATCGGTCCACCCGTACCAGAGATAGCTGTCCGGTCGCGATTTTGACAACGCGGAATTTAAAAAAATATAGCCTATAACATGCCCGTCTATGCCAGCTACCCTCCAGTGAAAGTCTCGTTAGAATCAGCCAAGCCGTTTTGGAGATTACCCGGAACAAACACGGCTTGAGGACAGACAGAGATAAAAAAAAATGCGATTTTCGTTATCAGCAACGCAAATACATCGCCATTAAACTTATGGGGTAAATATTTTGGATAAAAACCCTAATGTGGGAAAGAGACCATAAGTTGCTGCCAACATCTTTTAGTATTTTGACATTTGCAATTGTGAATTTGACAAATGTAAACAATAAAACAAAGTTTTTATAATTTCATGCGGGTGAAGCCGCACGGGAACAGCTAGTTTTATTTTATGTATAGATACTCACCATACTTTCCTCGTTGATCGAATCCAGAGAAAGAACAGTAACATGAAAGTACACAATAGTAGGCTGACCTAGCAACTTGGGTGCTCTGTTCTTGTCGTAGTATTTGGCCTTCACTGGTAGTATATCCCTTAGTGATAGACTCGATTCGGATTTTATTTCCATTTCTTGATATGATGCGTTTGCTCTGGAAAATATGAAATTAATATGATAATTCTATATATTAGTAGAATATCCAACAATGTAAAAAATAAGGGACATTATAAATCAAAAAAGTATAGATTGTGTGAAAGAGGTTATGCTGAAGAAAGGAGCGAATATGACGTATGGAAGAGACTGTGCCGACCCTCCTACGGACAATGGCAAGGTGATAATGATTGACATTCTAATATCCTTTTACTGACAACTAACTTCACTTTGTTATTGTTTGTTGAACAAGATCAAAGCGAGAAATTTGTGTTTTTGCATTGTTTTTATTCATACACATTTTGGTTACAAACCCGACATTTTTTCCAGTAGCAGGTGTTGATTACAAAATAGGAATAGAAAAATAATCCGATAGGTGTAACGTCGCCTTACAAACCGCAAATCTTTTGTTTTATAATCTTTGCTGCAGATTTAAAACCGGACAGATCTGAACCATCACTAGTTCAATTTAGTTTTATAACAAGGACTATCGTATTAGTATCGATTTCCGTTTTAAAGGTTACATAGATAATGTACAAAGAAATTTCTTTGTGTTAAATATGGCCACTAAAGAATGACTTTAATTTTTAATTGTTTTAATTTTCATATATAAATACAGATAACAAGGAATATTTGTACACAATTTTCAACATAGAAATTAAGGTTAGGTCTTGTATAAGTGCTGCCGAGCTACGGCTGCCAAACATGGCAAATATGGCAGCCGTAGCTATATATTTGCCATATTTATTAATATTTCAGTAAACTAGAACACTATTTACGAAATGGGTGGTCCGTTTTTATATTTTCACTATAAACGTAAAGAATTCGGTTCAAAACCGATAGATGGCGCTATTTCATATATATCCACTAGCTTTAAATTGTACGTATTAAAAGTTTACTTACAAAAAACTGACAGCTGCTTGTACTCTACTGGCTTCCATATTGTTTTGTAGCATCAGGAACATCATTGACAACAAAAATTGTCTCACTGTCACGTTCATTGTCACTACAGTCGCGCACACAAGTTATCTTGACACAATGTATTTGTTCATTTTATTTTATTATATTATTCGTATAGTATTCTCATGGAAAACACTAAACTGCAAGTGTCAATAGTTCGCCGCGATCTCAACACCTTACATAAATAATCCCCTTAAAGGGTTTATGTTCACATGTGTAAATAAATTTAGTTATACCGATTGTATACGCAATGGTTTTACAATAAATATAAAAGTATTTTGTTGTATTCTAAATAGTATAAATTATTTTTGATACTGTATTTAACTAAATTTGGAAAATTATTATCCTGAAAGGGTTTTTCTTTAGGATTAGTTTTAAAAATTTAGCCAGGAAATATAATGTATTTCAAAGCAAATAAGCGTTCACTGCGCCTGTTAGTGATGTGTAAAATATATTGGTTTTCGTATCGGTTCCATAAATCTCAAATTATATAACTTACAACTAAAATAGTATAATCTTTTGTTATAAGAATGTCATGTTACGGGGATATCAATGTATGGCTTCGCCCCCCAATAAACCAATAGTGGGGACGGAATCTTATTGCATTTGCGTACAAATGTGCATTCAAGCGTGTACCAAGGTAATGTTACTATTTTAGGGTTAGTTTAATTTCGTATATTATTGACGATAGATGGCGTTTATCTGTATTTTTTCCGGCAACTGAGCTGTTTTGTCAAAATAAAAGTTATTGAAATGTTTTATTAATTAAATCTAGTTGTACAAGACTTTAATGGACTTTCCAATACATTTAAATGTTCATTTTAATTATTTTCCTTTTTTTGAGGAGCAAAAATACTATACTCCATTTGAAAGTTTAATTAAATGTTAATTTATATGAGAAACTTACATAGACTGAGATAAAATCAATAAAGCAATAAGGAAATCGAGTAAATTATTATATTAACTTTAGTAATTAAATTATCGATATAACGATTAACAATCGAATTTAAAATTTCTTCGTTTAATAAAAAAAGAACAAAACTCACTAAAAAAATTGAAACTTTTTAGGTTATCAAAGACCAAAAATGTATGTGAAACTCGGAAACAAATAAACGCACTGATGATGTTATCGAGAGAACGTCACAAAATATTTTTATATAGATTTTTTGACAAATACTGTCTAAATAAAGATATCATTATTGTATAAACACAACACAATAAAGTAAACACTGAACGTCTGTTTACGGTAATAGTGAAACTCTAAATAAATTAGCTCTAATATATGGCGAGAGGCAAGCTGACGAGCGGAGCGGATAATAAATTGTTACTTATAATCGCGGAAATGTATTTCAACTAATTTCATTGTTAACAACCTTTTTTATTTCCATTTCTAAGATTTACTTGTTAGTATTATTAGTAATTTCTCCATTTCTCATTTCTCTGGAGAAATGTAGCAATAAGAGAAAAAAACAAAAGTTAATGACGTCTTCAAAAAATATTTAAAAACTAAAGTGGGATTGGACAGAACATATTAATAATAAAGGAAAATGAACAAAAGAAATCATGGATTGGTATTTGGTACCCCAAAGAGACAAAGAGGACGACAAATAAAAAGATGGGAAGACGACCTACCGAAGGGAGACGATTTGCGCGCGATAGAGAGACGTGGAAGAAACTAGGAGAGGCCTATGTCGAATGACAATCTGACACGCAACTGGGTGCTGGAAAATGAAAATGTACATATATAATTTATTAATAAGTTGTAAAATGTCAGCGAATAAAGGCTTTATCTAGCTAGCTATTGTTAGTAATTGACTTATTAAAAAAAAGAATTATCCAAATCGGTCCACTAGCGGCGGAGTTATGCCGTAACACACATAAAAAAAAAAAAAAAATATACCGACGAATTGAATACCTCCTTCTTTTGGGAAGTCGGTCAAAAAATTAGTTGTAGTTACAAGTTTTTGCGTTACAATTTACGTTTATTACGTCTTCTAAATTATCCCTCCCGCTGGTCCCCTCCATTTTCTTATTTCTGTAGTCCACCGAGAATCAGTAAACATAGACACCTGCTTATATTCAAATTTGAATTTTAAAATTAAAATTTTTAAGTCCCATTCCAGAAATAACGTTTTTTACTTTTTTTTGTATTTACTGTAGTCAAGGCATTATTCGTGAACTTTGTTTAGTAAATAAAATAGATGAGTCGGTATATAATAGGATTACGGCGGGGCCGCGTCAAGTGAGCGAGGACCTTGGACTATTTGATACAGAAGGATATTTACTCGACTTATATCGATTTGTGAACAATCTTTTATAAATCAAGTAAGTCTTCCTTAATCGTTTCCGCGTCGAGTCGCATCGATCTTGGGTATTTTTTTAGTCGAATGAAGCGATGCCTGAAGGCAGTTTTTATTCGAATAAAACACGAAAAATGGATTGTTGCTGGGATACTGGCTTACTGAGACAGACAGAAAAAAAATGCTATTTTCACTATCATTTGCGCTCGAATCTTATCTTGCTATTATAATAAATGCGAAAGTTTAGATGGATGTTTGTTAGAGTTTGTAGCCTAAACGGCTGAACGGTTCTTGATGAAATTTGGCATAGATATAGAGGATACACTGGAAGAACACATAGTCTACTTACTTTTTTTTAACCCCGTGCAAACGAAGTAGGGCGAAAGCTAGTTTTATTATATGTATAGATGTAATAGTAAATAAAACCAATAAATGTATTTTCATAATTTATTTTTAATCGTAATATAATTTAAAGCAGTATTTTCTTATATAAAAGGATTTACCCATTACGATATAGTAAGGCTAATTTTAAAATTAATTATGTAACTAACATTATCTAGGACAGATTAATTAAAGGAAGATATTGTTTCTTTAAGGCATTCAAAATATTTGCAACTAGTTTTTGCTCGCGACTTCGTTTACGTGGAATTAAATAATAGTAAAAAATAACTTATGACACTCTCACATAAAATAGCTTTTTAATGGTGAAAGAATTTTTGAAATCGGTCCAGTAGTTTTTGAGTTATCTTGATACAAACAAAAATACAAACATTTTTTAACATTTTTATTATTTCTGAAGACTTTCGCTTTTACAATCTATAGCCAAATGTTGTTTTGAAACTTGTCTATTTTAATTCACTAGTCGACATATTGAAAAAGATTAATATTATGGACATTTTTAACTAGAAAAAAATAAAATAATTGCTTAAGAAATTTAAGTAACCTTAAATTAAATATGAACTATAAAAAAAAACAATTTTTTTTTAAGATTAAAATTTTACAGTAATGTTCCTCGGAGACAAAATTCAACTAATCCTATACATTAATAGTTTTTTTTCCTGTTCCATAAATTTTCTGACAAAGGCTATAAAACCTCCATTCATTTAACTCTTGTGGGGTTTCTTTCACCATATTTCTATATTCAGTTCTAATATCAGACATTTTCTTAGAACAATTCAATGGACTTTTATTCAAAATCTCCGATACATCCATCCATAAGTAACTTCTGATGTATTTTGGATTTTTAAATTTATCCAAATTCGTCAAATACCACGTCAATAATTGTTCTATTTCATCATCAGTCCAAAATTCTTCCAAACTACCCTCATTTACAACTTTGGTATCTGTTATTAATAAATCATTTAAAAGCACTTCTTTAGCTGAAATTTCTTGCATCAATTCCATAAAATCAGCCTCAACTATATTCTCAGTGTTATACAAATTCTTCATATAATTGATTTTGTTAAAAATCTTAGATACAGGCTCGTTTATAACATTAGCTAACTCCATCCATACATATTTCTTCTCATATTTAGGACTTAAAAATTCCTCCAAATTCTCCAAATAATATTTCAATGCTTTATCAACTTTTTCATTACAAATCGCAACATCTTTATATGTTTTTTTCTCTTTTAATGTTTTCCCGTTACTTATTTTCGCGAATTTCGGTTTCAATTTTAATATCTTTTCAATTATTTTATAATAAGGTGATGTTGTTTTAAAATCTTCATTCATCGCTGATATTCTGTGTTGATTTTTCAATTTTATTAATATTCTCCTACAAGACATCGGTGGTTTATTTAATTTCGAAGATATTTCCTTCCACATCACTCTTGAATCGATCTCTTTCCCTTTATTTGATTTTAAATATTTCAAATATAATAATAATAATTGCTTTTTAGTTCGTTTATTCCATTTGTTTATTTGTTTTGTTTCTATTGTTTGTGTTTGATCATCTTGTTTTAATAATTCTTCATCGACAGTCTCAATCATTTCTTGTTCATCAGGAATTACTATTATATACTCGAAATCGTCATCTGAAAATAAATATATTTTATTTTAAGACATAAAAAAAATTTTACCCCACAATAGTCTCTTATTATAAAATAATTTAGTTGAAACTATTATCACTTAGTAATAATATCAAAAACTAAACAATCTTACTATTATTATAAATGCAAAGTTAAGATGTTTGTTAGAGTTTGTAGTCTAAATGGCTGAACAGATCTCAATGAAATTTGTCATAGATGTAGAGGATAGTCTGGAAGAATACATAGGCTACTTGCTTTTTTAAAATTTCAAGCAATACTGACTATAAACATAAACCCCTGCTAGTAGTAATCCTTTAAATTAGTATTTATTTTATTAAAATACTTGACTAGCTGTTTTTTGCGACTTCGTCCAAGTGACATTTAAGAAAATAGCCAGTTACTTAGCCATAATATACCTTTTTTTATTGTAAATAAGTCTTTGAAATTGACCCAGTAGTTTTTGAGTTATTTCAATGCATATAATACAAATCTTTCCTCTTAATCTATACTAATATTATAAAGAGAAAAGATTTGTATTTTTTTATGTATTGAAATAACTCGAAAACTACTGGGCTAATTTTATAAACTCTTTCACCATTATTAAGGTAATTTATCCGTGAGTAACATAGGCTAAATTTTAATTTCACGCGGGTAAAGTCGCAAGCAAAAGCTAGTAGTATAGATGAATCATATTTTTTGAATTTTAAATTAAATGAAACATCATGAAAACTTACCTTCCGGCAACTCTTTCTTGATATTGTCAATATCCATTTCTTCAACCTCACAAATAACCTCGGAATCTTCACTTTGTTCCCTTCCTTTCGAAGTATAAATCTCGTCAAGCATATTAAAATATTTCCACGACACCTTAATCTCCGGATTTCTTGCTTTCATCGTAGTCAATTTTCTATAAGATTTCCGTAATTCTAGAAACTTCTCACTACAAGCTGCTTCCGTTTTCCCAATAATACGAGCCAAATCCGCCCAACGACAGTTATCTTCTAAATTCTGATGTAAAGAATCGTAATTATTCGCAAAATAATTAATAAGTTGCTTTATTTCTCTTGCAGCCCATTCCTCACTGTCATCTGAACCGGTTTTACCATTTTTCAATTTAGATTTAATCGCTCGGTAGCCAAAAACTTTCTTACACATAGCATAATAAGGCCATAGTATTGGCATATCTGGCTTATTTATTTCCCTTTGTATATATCTTGTATATATTTGTTTCAGATTTCTAAATCTGTGTGCACATTGTACTGCAGTAATTCCCAATTGATTTGCTAATATTTCCCATAGTGATAGTTTCTTTTGTAACGAACAGGAGAATTTTTCTTTATTTTTTAAATAATATTCCAATATCCTGTTTGCTTTAGATTCACCGATGCGTCGTTTGGAACGCTTCATGAAACCTCTTTCGTCATAAATTTCATCATCTTCTGAATATTCAGGAATGTTTTCATCGTGTATATGTACTTTTTTAACTGTAACAAATAAGATATATTTATAAATTAACATCTTTCTATCTTACTTCTATAGTAATATTATGAAGAGGAATGATTTGAATTTCTGTATGTATTGAAGTAACTCAAAAACTGAACCGATTACAATTCTTGCACCAATAAAACTATGTTATCAGTGAGTAACATAGGCTACGTTTTTTACTATTTTTTTAATATTACGCGAGCGAAATCGCGAAGAACTGCTGGTATACTATGAATACGAAAGTTTAGATAGATGGATGTCTGTTAGAGTTTACAGCCTAAATGGCTAAATGGATCTAAATGTAATATGGGTTTCATACATTTTTCCAAGTCTTATATGTATAGTTTTCTTTCTACCTTTATCAACTTTCTATATATGCTACCAAGAAGTAATTAAATTACAGCTTTCGCCCGCCTCTATACGCGTCAAATTCAAACCCCTATGTTCTATGTCTGCGACAAATTTCAGCAAGATTCAGTCGTTTTGCAGATAAGCAGTAACAAACATCCATCCATCTAAACTACAAGTAAGATAGACATATAAAGACTCTTATTTATATAGAAAACATATATTGTAAACTAAATTCATAAAATCAATTATAGTTACTTACCACCAATTTTTTCTGATACAAGTTTCTCATTTACTTTAACATTTTCATATCCTTCGAGAAGATCTGTGTCCATACCATAATCAAATATACGATCAAATACATCAATATATTTCCAATTTATTTGCATATCAGGATTCTCCTTTTTATCTTCTAATATACTCTTATATAAAGCAGTTAACTTTTCCCATTGCTTCTTACAACTGTACATATTCTTCTGCAATTTCTCAGCAACCATAGACCAACAAACATAATAACAAACTGAATCTTTAAATAATTCTATATTATCATAAAAGAATTGCACTAATTCATCTGTTTTTCCTACACTCCATGTCCCAGATTCTTCGTTTTTACTATGTTTTTTTAACTCAATATCATTTTCACGGGCTATTATATTATCAAGAATAATTGCTGATGGAATTCTATTCGCCACATCGTATTCACCTTCCATTAAAGTTTTAAAATGTTCAGTTTTCATTTCCTTATACTTCTCTTTGCATAATTCGGGACTCTTCTCCAATAACCGACCAATTTCGTGCCATAAAAATTTATTTGGTATCGTCGTATCTTGAAATTCATGAAAACAATCAAAACAATATTTAACTAATACTGTTTGTTCCGTTTCATTAAAGTTTTTATCTTCTTTATAGTTGGTTTCATCTAAAGATGTGGCTGCGTATTTATTTTTAAATCTCTCATCACCTTCAAATATTTGATCAAACATTTTCATGTAAGGCCAATTAATTTTCTCAGGACCAACTTCGTAACGTCTATGCAACATTCTTATGTAATGCTGTTTGAAATTTAGAAATCGTTTTTGCCAGTACTCAGCATCTTCTTTGCCCATTTCCATTGCAATTTTATTCCAAAAACCTCTGTTATAGCTTTTCTTATGATAGACATCCTTGTATTTTAAATATAAGTTAAGCATCTGTTCAACTTTTTCATCAATAGGATTTTTTGAAGCGCGATTTGTTGCTTGTTTATTTAATATTAAAACACCATCTTCGTTTATCTTTGTATCATTCGTTTTTATCTTTACTTCTTTATCTTTTATACTTTCATTAACAAATTCCTTAACATAATAGTCATTTTGAAATGCCCGATGACATAAATCATTGTAAGGCCATTCTTCAAATACTCCCGTTTTCTGATAATTAGCAAGAATTTCAGCATATTTCTGTTTAAGACTAAGTAATCCTATTTCACAAAGTGTGGGATCTTTATCTCTAAATATTGTCCTGCAAGCTACTTCCCATAATCGTTGATTTGTTGTCGTCCCGGATTGAATATTTTCTAAATTATCAACATATATCTTGAGTAACTTATGTACATCTTCCTCTTGCCATTCTTCATTTATTTGTCCACCATTCTGTACATCAGTTAAAGCATAATCTTCCTCAGATTCTTCAATGTTAGCAAACACAAAATCGTTTTCTTGAAATTCTACCACTTCGTGGTCACCTAGATCTTCTAATTTCCCTACTCCTACGGAATCTTGACTGTTATTTTCTGAAACAAAGATATCAGATGATGATATAATTATTACATAAAAGAATAACTAACCTCTTCTGACAATGAGAACTAGTTTTGAAGCAAACAACTTGATGTAACAGGTTAAAATTAGCAAAAAATATGATTCCGAATTTTCATTATCTTTATGTGTAAGAATATTAAAAATTATCCGATATTAGAATAACTTACCGTCGACATAGAATAGCAATATATCCCCATTGGATTGTACTTCAGTTTTTACAACTATTTGCTCCATTTTAAATAGTTATCTCGACTTCTTTATTTCATATTGCAGAAAATATCATTTTGCTGAAAAAAAAGTTTTACATTTTACACATAGTGGAACAGTCGACGTAAAGATTCGCTAATGAATGACATTGCAAGAATACAATTCCATAATTGCGTTTTTGTATTTTACACAAGTTAATAGCAAAACCAAATTATTTCTGTCAGAATCACTCAAGATATTTTCCCGGTTTATTTATTTTCATATTTTGACATTAGTAAATAAAACGATCAGAAATCTTACCAGCACAAGTTCGAAAAGCGCAGCAATGCGTTTTACATTCCGTTTTGACAGATTGTCGCCATATTGAGTTTGGAATATATTAAAATTAAAACTAAACACAATAATAATAGCAATAATGACCTATTTATATTGCATTAAATTTAAAATTCTTCATCTCTAAATTAAGAAGAAAAACAACACTTAAAACATAATTTACTTGAAATCCTTTTTACGCACTTATTTCCAATCTTGCGTGACAAATTCTTATCAAACCAATCATTGATTGCTGTTGCCAGCATCAAAAAACCTTAGCTAATATAAAACAGAGTAAAATGACTTCGCTTTTATTGACATAAAAAAAAAACAGTTAGCCCTCTCGAGGCTCCATAACTTTCTACATATTGGCATAAGAAATTGCAAATAATTCTACAAAACAAGGTACAAGTAGCCTATAGAAAAGACCAATCTTAAATCTGGTTATAACATGACTTCTTGAATTTATTTTGTTGTAGATTTAATACAATTATTAAGGGATTTTTCTCACTTGGAATTGATTAGTATATTTAGTTAAATAGTGGTTGTAGTTACAAACCAATGTAGGGTTCTAGTGAAGTTAGGGATAAATTGATTTAACTTATTTTCTCTGCATATTTTAAATGCCCCGCAACCGAGAGCAATAAATCATATTTCTTATTGCATTCATGCAAACAAGCAAATTGTTATTTTTAAAACTTTATTCGAATTATCTTTTAGAGGTTGGTTCCAAAAGAAACTTTTTGAGTATACATGGATGGGATTTGTAAGATTTCCTGCAATTAAATATTTTAGGTTTTAAATTAGTATTACTAGTGGATTTCTTAAGATGAAATGTTAATAGGATCATATTTGTATATATTTATGTATGAAAGACTAAGCGCTGCAAGGTGGTAAAAAAAAACCAAAAACATTTTACACAATTTTTACTTACATAAAAATAAAACAACAACACACAATACAAATCAGTCAAAATAATTAAAAACATCTCTTTTCGGGATATATAACATGTCATTGTTTGGTAAAAGAATTGGACAGTTATAAATTAAATATGTACTAGAGAAAAGCTGTATTATAAAAATATTAAAATTAACGAAATTATTATCGTTTTGTGCAAAAATAGGAAATGGCGCGTAAATTTTATAAGATTTTGACAATTGTAATTACTGGTTGGCGGGAAAGATGGCAGCTGAAAAGGGTTGCCAAATAATTTGCTTAGAATTTCCCCTTTATGCACAAACTTCGATTTATTTTTTACATATTCTTGTGAATACAACACTTGACTAGTAAACTACTTTTATATAAATTATGTGAAATAGTACATATTAGGTCATATTTTATCCTAAGCAATGTTAATACTGTGTATAACGGCTTAATGAATTATATAAAACAGATTTTAATTACCGAGCTATCTTTACATTATAAGGGAACGATGTTCATAAAACTAAAGATGTACATAGATAAGATCACTTGATAAATATTTATATCGATTTAAAATTACTTGGTAAACAAAAATGTCGTAAAAATTAATAGATTCAATAAAATAATTAAAATATTATCAAATTTTCTTAATTTGTAATTACTAACATTTGTAGTTAGTTATCCATAACATTTGATTTCAACAAAACATCACAAAAATAAAATGTCAATTTACTAAAAACTAACAATATATAAAATGCTTTGCTCTAACTATAAATAGATTTACTTGATTTTAGAAGCACATCTACATAAATATACGAACAAACATACAAATTCAAGTAATAAAGCTAAGTTTAAACAGTTTTACGTACGCTATTAAAAATAGTATTTCTTATATTTAGCGAAAGTCATAGATATTTTACCTATAGATTAATTTTATAAATGTCAATTTGTATTGTAAATGGCAACACTGACGGAACTTCCCCAAAAGACCACCGTTGACCTTTTTTCGCGCCTTTAGTGCTCCATATTATATATCTATAGTGAATGTGATAAAATTGGAAGAGATTCTTTAATGGATAAAATGACAAGACATTTATTGTCCTTGTTTGGAACATTAATTACTATAATAATATTGCCTATAAAAATTACAATTCACGCCTTGTAATAAGACTTGTCTGTTTTTTTAAAGAGAGAAATGTTTTCATACAAGGGTAAAACAATGGAAACCTTATTTTAACAAATGTTATTTTGAACTTAGGCTTAATTTATAAACAAAATAAATATACTTCTCTTAGGTTACAACTCCATTGTGACAGATGTCATAAAATAAAATTCATCCAATCAATAAAACAGAATTATAAATATATCTCATTATTATAAATATCTATACTAATGTCATAAAGAGGCAAGATTTGTATTTTTGTATATATTGAAATAACTCAAAAACTACTGGACCGAATCCAAAAAATCTTGCACCATTAAATAAGTTATGTTATTGAGTAACATAGGCTATGTGTTTACTATTTTTTTTAATTTCACGCGGGTAACGCGAGCAACGCGAGCAACAGCTACTCCTTTATGAAAATACTAGCTGTTCCCGTGCGACTTCATCCGCATTAAATTATGAACATTTTATTTTATTGTTTACATTTGTCAAATTATCAATTACAAATGTCAAAATGACATGACATGATGACAACCTTGCTTCCTTCATGTTGGCAGTAACTTATGGTCTCTTTCCCACGTTAGGGTTTTTATCCAAAATATTTACCCCCTTAGTTCAATGGCGTTAAAATATGTAGCCTAAAGCGTGACGCAAGTGTAGGACTTAGGCAACAAAGAAGTGTGTGTTTACGCTTTATTATATTAGTATAGATTTCATGAAAGCTATTTGAATACATACAAAAATACAAATCTTTCTTCTTTGTAATATAGGTATAGAGGTACAGATTGATCACACAAACATTTAAATAGACATATGCAGTGCTATAATAAACATTTGCTATATCCTAATATGATTAACAATACTATGCATACATCAATTAAAATATATATATACTGTTATTAATTGTAAAATATTTTTATGTCGATTTTTAACTTTGATAATATTCAACTTAAACAATAATTAAATATATGTGAAGCTAATTAATAAATCTAAATGAACAGCTATTTTTTAAGCTGTAAAAGGGATAACTGCGTATTGACAAATTTTAAATAAAAATATAACCTCAAATGCTTATTTACGCGGCATTTGTGGAGATTTTTTACATATGGTAACATTAAGTACTATACTAGTTTATTGCACTTGTTTTAAAAACAGGCATATTTTTTTGGTGTTTTAAAGTAAAATAAGTCGTGAGATTTATATTGAGATTTTGTATTCATAAGTCAAGAAAATAAAACACTTTTATAATGTTATAGTTGGAAATACTGATTAAATAGACATTTAGAAGCGTAATGCGAAGCAATAATTGTTTTTTGCGGTAATACTTTAAACATTTGAATTAAATATACATAGATATATAATCTATGGATAAAATTTTAGTTTGACGTCTAATCGAGAGTAGATTTTTGTTTCATTTTGAAACAAAGTTGAGGAAGAATTTAATCAATAAAAAAACCTTTTTTCGTCTTTATAAACTAGAGAAATATCTATAGGTTTTATATCTATGGAAATGAAGTTAAAAACAGACTGCACATAGAAGTAATAAATTTTGTTATGGAATAAAATGTTTGAAGTTTGCTTTTTATGTCATCGTAAATACGCATTCTGCTTTCTAGAAAATATGATACCCGTTTTATTGATCTGCTATACTAAAAATACGTAATAAATACAAATATTCTTTGATCTTTCCTTAGAAACAATAAACATATGAATTAACGATATAATTTTACGATATAAGTCTTATACGACTCGCTATTTAAACGTTAAAATTCTAACATCTGTCAAAAAGAGATAATAAATTTTAAAATAAATGACAGACGAGTTTGTTCTGTTTTTAAATACAGTTTTTGTCACTGATCTGTACAAATAGATAGGCGATTTGAAAACGAAACATTTTACTTCCGTTAAACGCGCTTTTTGATTTTAATGACAGTTAAATCTATTATTAACTTTTAGAGAATCATAAAATAGAGAAAGTACCGCAGTTTATAGCCTGTCTATTTATAAAGATCAGTGGTTTTTGTATACAAATTTCAGATGATTCCATCTTCGCTAAATGATAATTTTAATTTTTTTACGTCACAATTTTAACACAAACAACGCAATAAAAGCGATTTGCTAGTCAATATTTAAAAAAATCATCAAATTAATTCATTTTTCAATATTAATTACTACAAATGAAGCTGCCAATACAACGCAGCGTAGCTAAAGCTTTAAGTTATTGAAAAATCAACCTTATTCCTTTACCATACCTCACATTTATGCTCGGGATTCATATTAGACTTCACCGGGCAATTAAATTCCTGTGAGAATTCTTTGAGGTTAGAAATAGGGCCGATAACTCTGTACTTAGCGACAGTATGGTCGTCTTTCTCGATTTGCATTTTAGTAGATTCTTTGGTCATCGATGAACACCATACCTGAAAAATTTAAAATTATTTTTAAACTGTATTCCATCTTAATAAAATTGTAAATATTATAAATCTTCAAATAGGTTTAGCGGATCTTGATGAAATTTGGCATCGATGAATAGTCTGGAAGAACATATAGGTTGTTTACTTTAGTATTTTTTTTAATTCTGCGATCGAAAGCTAGTCTATACTGATATTATAAAGAGGAAAGATTTGTATTTTTTATGTATTGAAATAAATCAAAAACTACTGAGCCGATTTTAATAATTCTTTCACCGTTAGAAAGGTAATTTATCTGGTATCATAGGCTATATTTTTTTTAATTTCACGTGGGCGAAGTCGCAAGCAACAACTAGAATTAAATATTTTATTATGTCAAAACCGAGAAAAATCGTAACAAGTACAACAAACAATAATAAAGTATACACAATGTTTTCGATGGTAACTAAGTATAATAATTTTCAGATATCTTGTCGGTTCTAAAAGCTTTCAGGTCCAACTGTCAGTTAAAATTTGTCAGAAATGAGCAAATTTAGGTTATGGACCTACGTTATGGACGTGGAAATACCAAGATATTTGAAAAGATAAAGCAAAACTAGAGGATTTAGTAAAATCACTCTTGTTGTATTGAAAATTATTACATGTATAAGAAAAAACTTGAAATGTAATCTTGCTCGAAGGACCAAAATATTAAAGTTTTATTTTTTGCCAAATTGACAGTGAAATATTGTGTGTACAGGTTGAATATATTACCTGAGCGAAGGATATGAAGAACAGTTGTCTATGGTTGTACTTGAGGCCGGGCAGGGTGTAGTTCAGTTTGGCGTTCTTGCTGTAGTCGAGGTAGGCGTGGAAGGACGCCTTCAGCCCGCCGTTGTCCGCGATGTTCTCACCTGGAATTGTTCATTATACCATTGTAATTATTTTTGTACTAACATTATAAAGAGGAAAGATTTGTATTTTTGTATATTGAAATAACTCAATTACTGGGCCGATGTAATTCTTTCACCATTAGAAACCTAAGTTATCAAGGGATTGGAAGCTGCATGAGATTGGAATAAGTTGCCGGCGTTAGTTTTTCCATCTATTTTTTTTTATAATGTAATGTGGCAAACGAGCAAGCGACCTGAATCCACCGAAATGGAAAGCGACCGCTGCCCATAGACATCCGCAATTGCAGATGCCTTGCCTACCCTTTATTGACGGAGGAGGAGACGCACATAAAGAAGACATTTCCCCTTTCTATGCTTCTCCTCCACCGTCAAATCCGCTTTTCCTTCCCATCCTTTCCTCTTAAGAAAAGGAAAGGGGCTAAAATTAGGCGTATTAAAATACGTGGCTTCAAAAGAAGAGTAAACAGCTACCTATAAGTTAGCGCGTGCCATCTTTCGACTGCATCGTCACTTTCTTCAGGTGGGATCATAGTCAAGCGTAACAAACGTAAAAAATAAGTTATCGCTGAAAAACATAGGCTATAATTGGGCATGTGGACGGAGTCGCGAGCAACAGCTAGTAATATAAGAAAGCGTAAACACACACTACTTAGTTAACAGTCGGCAATCACAGTATGTTTTTAATTTTTTTTTTAATTTCTATTATTATTCAAGGAAGAATATTAATGAATAATGAAGTATATTTTAACAGTGGTAGTGCCCGCTTTAACATCCTCGCACGAATGGGCCGGCTCGCCCCCAGTAATACCACGAACACACAGATAACAGGCGTGAAGTGGAAGCAATTCCGCGTTTCGTCTGATGAGTGTGGTGCCGGAGGCCTAATTTTAGTCCCTTTTCCTTTCCACTCTTTTCTTAAGAGGAAAGGATGGAAAGGAAAAGTGGATTTCACGGTAGAGGAGATGCATATGAGGGGAAATGTTCTCTTATGTGCGTCTCCTCCTCCGTCAATCAACGCATCTGCAATAGCGGATGTCTATGGGCAGCGATCGCTTTCCACTTCGATAGATTCAGGTGGCCGCTTGCTCGTATGCCATCTTATATTATAAAAAAAAAATAGAGATAATTTAAATTTGTCTTACCTAATGTCTGTTTGCCGTTTAAATAAAGTCCATCCATAGAATAATTAGAGTACTGCTCCTGAATACATTTAGCCCGTTTCTTGAAACGACCGATAGTAGCGTTGTTCCACCATTGGTTGAGGTTGCCGAATCTGGAAGAGGTAATTATTATGATTATTAATAACTTGCTAGACTTATCTATCCTAATATTATGAAGAGGAACGATTTGTATTTTTGTATGTATTGAAATAACTAAAACCTGTGGGGGCCAATTTAAAAAAAAAAATTAAATCCTCGCGGACGAAGTCGCGAACCACAGCTAGTATTCTGTAATTTCTATTTTTATACTCATACTATAAAGAGGAAATTAATTATTATAAAACTTGATTGGAAAAACAAAAGTATTGAATAAACATTCTTAAATAAGAATGTTTTTTGTGTTTAAAATGCGGAAAAATAATACCGTGTTTAAAAATTCAGTATTTCATTTGAACGTTTTTTTAGCGCGCAGTAAAATAGGCACATTCAAATTAACCGATTAAACTCTGATTATGACAACTATGGACAATTTAATGGCCGTTTTACATACCTGTCATACTCGCGGCCTTGGTCGTCGAACGCGTGCGTCAGCTCGTGTCCCATGACGACGCCCATGGCGCCGTAGTTGACACTCTTGGGGTTGTCGCCGTCGTAGAACGGCAGCTGCAGGATGCCGGCGGGGAACACTATCTGGTTCTTAGTGGGCGTGTAGTACGCGTTCACTGTCGACGGTGTCATGCCTGGATATAAAGTTCTCATATATAAACTGTCAAATATAATATACACTTTGGTAAATCCTTGTAAAAAATATTTAATAGAATAGGCAATATGCATATGACGCCAAATTGCACCAAACTTTTTTTAAGAATAAGACGATTGACGTCAATTGTCTATTGACAACTTCGGTCGCGTTTTAGTCGCTCGAAAATGGTCGTAATTTTATTTTATTAATTTTAGCTCAATGGTTGAATATTTTCGCGTCAATTTTTTTTCTGGTTATTTTATAACATGTAGAATCATTTAAAAAGAAAGAAAAAATACATGCATATTCCCTATTCTAGTATATTTATGAATATAAATTAATTTACGAACACCCATATCTTTTGCAGTTATTTGGAGAACAACAAACTGCCGAAGCTACGGGAGTAAGATAAGGTAGAGTAGATGACGACAATCATTTGGCAATTAATATTACTCCTTACTAATATTATAAATGCAAATGTTTAAATGGATGTTTGTTAGAGTTTGTAGTCTAAACTGGTGAACGAATCTGGATGATACTTGACACACATTTGATTCGGAAGAACATATAGGTTAATGTTTGTTTTTTTTAATCCACGGAAACGTAGTCTCGGACAAAAGTAATAATCTAAGTTCTAACTGTTTAGTTAAAATTGGCAGTAAGAAATTAATGTAATTAGCGATCTGAAGGTGTGAAATAATGGTATTATATTTATATTGTGCCAAATTTTTAACCTATGGCCGTTATTAATTCGCATCTTTTCTGTAAGGAACACTGTTTAGTATTTCTTTCTCTACTTACCCCATTTAGTCTTATTAACGGGCTGGTCTAACTTTTTTAGGTCGTGACGTAATGTAAACACATTGAATGCAATGTTATTCTCAAAGTATTCGTTAGGCTTCACCTCCAGATCTGAATACTGCTTGTCTAGTTCTTCCTTGTTCAAGATGTAGTCAGGGAAACCTGAAGGAAGTCAATACAAAGTTAATAATTTAAATTTGTATAAAACATGTGATTATGGAACTATAGTATAGGGATTAGAGTAGGGCGTAGTTATTGCCCAGGGCGCTAAATATAACAGGGCGTAAAAGATCGACAAATTATAGTCTCAGATAAACCAAAATCTGGTATCTGGTATCCCCTGTTGTCCAAAATCTGGTAAAAGGGCGCCAATCTCGCCCAGATAACCTCCAAATGTGGTACTGGTATTTGTTTTTATCGATATCTATACAAATATAATAAAGAGGAGACACACATTTCTCTGTTATATAGAATGTCTGTAATCACAGCAAATTTTTGAATATTTTTATGAATTAAAAGCCCTTCATTTATGACGTGCTCTAGGCTATATGTTAAGCTTAGAGGCGACGCTGGTGCTCTCTCGTGTCGGAGGCCAAGACCCACTTCGGGTCGCTGCGCCAACGCAGTAAGTAAACTTAGAGGGAGAATGAATTGCAAAAAATATCATAAAAGAAATTAACAAAAATCCAAAGCAAGCAGTAAAGAACTAAAATTGTTATGGTAACGGTATTATTATCCAGTGGCAACGGCCATAGTTGTCATTTATGCATTTGAAAGTTTGACAAATGTAAACATTAAAATGAAGTTTTCCATAAAATATAAATAAAGAAGGTAAATACTTGTTCTAACCAATCATATCGGTGATGGCGTCAGCCTTGATCTCCGCAGCTTGCCGTGTCTCCGCGTCCATCCAGTCCAGGTTCTTGAGGTTGTCCTTGAAGGCGGTGCGGATGTGGTCGATCATGATCTCTCCCTGCGTCTTGGCCTCGCCGTGGAACACCTCGCGCACGAACATGGCGCCCACAGCGAAACCTATACACGATTTATAATCTATACTATATATAAAGGAGATTTGTATTTTTGTCTGTTTTGAAATAATTCAAAATCTACTGGACCGCTTTCACTATTAAAAAGCTACGTTATCATATGTTTTTATTATATTTTAATTCCACGCGTGCGAAGTAGCGAGCGAGCGAATATCATCTAAACTAGATGGCGTTAGACTACTCGAAAAATTACTCCGGTTAGATTTCTGCTGCAATCGTTTAAACATATTGAAACGAGACGCAGAACAAAATTCGATACAACGCTACTTTATAAATGTGTCTATACAAAATAAAAGTCTGTTGGTGATCCACGATTAGTTTCTTTTTATTATTATCCCTTCGTTTGCACTCAAGGGTATCTAATTAGTTATTTTTAAGAGACGGAGTTTGTCTCATTGCAATAATCAAGGCAATTTTTCATAAAGTGAAAAACCCCGTAATTCCACGACTATCTATACTATTACAATAAAGCGTCACACACATTTCTTTGTTGCCTAAGATGTCAGCAATTACAGCATATTTTAGAATAATTATTCTTTTAATAAAAAGCCCTACACTTACGTCATGCTTTAGACTATATATTTTCACGCCATTAAACTTAGAGGGTAAATATTTTGGATAAAAACCCTAATGTGTGTGTAAAGAGACCATAAGTTGCTGTCAATATCAAGGAAGCAAGGCTGTCAAGATTTGTCATGTCATGTCACTTTGACATTTGCTATTGATAATTTGACAAATGTAAACAATAAAATAAACTTTTCACAATTTCATGCGGACGAAGCCGCACGGGAACAGCTAGTTCATAAATATTACATTGAATAACTTACCAATAGCATTATTAGTATCAGTAACACAATATCTCCACGACTCCTCGGTACCTTCAGAACCGAACAGCGCCTTCCGCAGTATCTTAGTTGCGTCGCGGAAGGATTTGGACAAATAAGTGGACAGGGAACGGGACACTTGCCACATCATGTAGCTGGTTATTGTTCTGGAATAAAAAAACAACAATATAATAACGCACACAATGACATTAAGATCTAAAATTAAAACTTATGGCAAATAAATGTAAAATCGGTATTTTAGTACCAAATACTCACTTTTGGTCTTCTTCAGTTTTGCTATATTTTCTTATAACTCGAGTTAAATTCTTGAAATAATCAGGAGCATATACAACCAATCTCTCATTTTCAGATATCTACAAAACAAAAATCATTTAGATTTTCTTACATATTTCATCATCGTGTTCTAATCAAACACTAACGCCATCTATACTTCTATACCCAAACTAATATAATAAAGTGTAAATACACACTTCTGAGTTACATTGGATTTCATTAATCAGCATATTTTTGAATAATTCTACTTTTAATAAAAAGTCGTTCACCTACGACACTCTTTGGACTATATATTATCACGCTATTATACTTAGGGGATAAACTAATTGGAAAAAAACTATCAAGCGAGAATATATCTTTGAAACTAATATTGTTTAGGCATTACAAAATAACTTAATACTTACAGTTCTGTTGACCAATTTGAAAGCATCATTAAAGAACATAGACCAGTTCAAGAACGGTGCCACTTTTTGCCATTCCTTTAACGTGTACGGATTGTATAGACTCTCTTCATCCCTTCTATCTTCAGACGGGGTTGTTATATTCGCTAATTCAGTTTCGAACAGTATAACTTTGTTCATTTGAGCCCTGGCTTCAGATTTATTAGCACCGAGCAGTACACTGATCTTGGTCATATAGTCTAAATAAGCGTCTAGAACTTTCTTGTGTGCAGTTTTGTTGAGATAATTGTCACGTGTAGGTAAGTTCAGTCCTCCTTGATCCAACTGGAAAGGAAATAATTCTTTTTTTAAAAGAATTACACAAAACCATATCTTCATGTAAAGTGGACAGGTAGACATTACACTTAGAAGCAAAATATCATAGTTAATTAAACTTTTCAAAGTACCTACAGATTATTTATATTTTATTTATCTATACTATTATAATAAAGCGTAAACACACACTTCTTTGTTGCCTGAGATGTCAGCAATTACAGCATATTTTTGAATAATTCCTATTTTAATAAAAAGCCCTACACTTACGTCACGCTCTAGACTATATCATCACCAGCTCACTATATGTCCCCACCGAGGGGCTCGGAGCCTACCCTAAGATAGAGTGACTAGGCCATAGTCAACCACACTTTAGGCTATATGTTTTCACGCATTTAGACTTCCTGGGGTAAATATTTTGGACAAAAACCCTAATGTGGTAAAGAGACCATAAGTTGCTGCCAACATCAAGGAACCAAGATTGCCATAGTAAAATAATTGGTAATTTGACATTTGCAATTTCACAAATGTAAACAATAAAATAAAGTTTTTATAATTTCATGCGGATGAAGCCGCACGGGGACAGCTAGTATTACAAAAAGTAACTTACAACAATGACGTGTTTAGATGAATTCCTATCGTCTTCTGATACCGCCCAATTGAATAATCCACCCAGATTATATCTGTAAATAATAAAAACAAATATTTATGTTACAGTAATTAAAATACCATGTCAAATAAAATCATACTAATGTTATAAATGCGAAAGTTTAGATGGAAGGAGGCTTGTAGCCTAAAATGCTCAAATATCTATGAAATTTGTTGTATGTAGAGAACAGTCTGGAAGAAAACATAGATTACTTAAACTTAGAATGGCATAAAAGGACACTAGTGAGATAACTTGTCGGTCTGTAATCAAAGAGTAGTCGTAAATATTTATAAGAGAATAAGCCAATGGACGGCATTAATATAAGAGGAACAGAAGCCTTGCCGTTCTTTAAAGCCGTATGCTGCTAGAAGGATGCTAAGTCGTACTGGTTTGAAAAGACTGACCATACGACTATTTGAGACAAAAAGGTTCGCGAAAACTGCACAGTGAAATGCCTCAATATTCATATGTCAGAAACTTGGTGTTATTTTTACAGCGGTTTGAAATTCTTACTTACGTGTTCTGCACATCCTGCATCAATTTCTGCAGATCCCATTTTTGTTGTTTATTAACTGTATTAGGCAGTAAATGCCACCCGCCCAGTTGTTTGATTACGCCAATCAATGGTTTCTCTCCCAACTTCTCTATGGTTTCATTTGTGTCTATACACGCGTCGTAATATATCCTCGCTTTGGCTTCAGCTCCGGATGTTTCCGAAATGTTTACCTTCTCTGTAATAGATAAATACAAGATTATCAGATACTAGCTATTCTCCTGCGACTTCATTTGCATAAAATTATGAACGTTTTATTTTGTTCATAACTATAATTCTATAATTTGAGAATTGTAAACAATGAAATAAAATGTTCATAAATTAATGCGGACGAAACCGCACGGGAACAGCTAGTTCTAAATTAAATGCAAAAGTTTAACTCAGTAATTTAAAGTGATAATTTATTACACACACAATTCGTACCCAGAGTTGCTAATCACAATGTATTTATTTAGAAAAATCCATATCAGTTACATATTTCTACAAAATGCTAACAATCGAAATACTTTTAAAGTATATCGAATTAACAATAGTACGATAATATTGATAAATAAATCTACATGATCCGGTGTATTGATGTGAGAAAAAAACACGTTTTTCTTGTTTGTTATAATAATAAAAATATCACCCTTTTGTCACTAAAGCAGCCAGAATAAACTTGGGTCTTTATTCACCTATAAATCGGCTAATGGCAACATATAATGCTTTGCATAACTCTTGTGCGTGCGTCAAAGGAGCCAGAGATAAAAGGCCCATAATCGAATTTTCTCCAACAAATGGCTAACATTTAAAAAATATCTACGTGAGGCTATCACTTAAATTTAATTTTTACTTTTTGGGTTAATAAAAAAAAATATAAACATATTCTGTCTACTGTTGTTACTGTTGTTGTTGTTCTTATTTTTCTATGTATGTCGTGTAAACCTATAATTAGGACAAATTATTTGCATGTTACTTATTGTATAATATTGTGTAAAAATGTATCTTACTAATCTTACTAATATTATAAATGCGAAAGTTTAGATGGATGGATGGATAGATGGATAGATGGATGGATGGATGGACGGATGTTTGTTAGCGTTTGTAGCGTAAACGGCTGAACGGATTTCTATGAAATTTGGCACAGGTTTAGAGCATAGTCTGGAAGAACACATAGGCTACTTTTTATCCCGGAAATAGTTACGGTTCCCCTGGGATTCATTAATTCAGTTTTTTAATGTTCACTCGATCATTCTGCAACGGTTAATAATATCTTATTGAAATTTGGCACAGATATAAAACAAAGTCTGGAGTACACATGGGATAAGCTTCATCCCCGAGAAATGTCCGGTTCCCGAGGGATACGTAACTTTTTATAATTTATATAGTTTGTATGTTTTTTAATACCACACGGACGAAGTCGCGGGCAACAGCTCGTGTGTCATAATTTTGTCCTGTTGCTTTATCTTAATAAATAAATAAATAAATAATCAACGGTATTTCGTTCACATTTTATTGTAATCTACTATTTAGTTTAGTATCTGTTTAAATGAGTAAGGCTTCGTGTAATGCAATTTATTGGATTAGTTCAGATAATTTATCTGTATACTATCGACCCGCCCGGCTTCGCGCGTGCAATGCTGATACGAAAATGTGTTTAGATTAGAAACCTCTAAATTTATCAGTATATCTGTACTATTACAATAAAGCGTAAACACACTTCTTTGTTGCCTAAGATGTCAGCAATTACAGCATATTTTTGAATAATACTTTTTTTTAATAAAAAGCCCTACACTTACGTCACGCTTTAAGATATATATTTTCTCGACATTAAACTTAGGGGGTAAATATTTTGTATAAAAACCCTAATTTAGGAAAGAGACCATAAATTGCTGCCAACATCAAGAAAGCGAGATTGCTCAGGTTTGTCATGTCATGTCCTTTTGACATTAGCTATTGATAATTCGATAAATGTAAACAATAAAATGAAATTTTCATAATTTCATGCGGGTGAAGCCGCACGGGAACAGCTAGTCTCTACTGTATATACATATAAAATTCCTCTCGAATAACTATCTATTAACAAAAACTGCAATAAAATCCGTTCTGTAGTTATATATAACAGTTTTGAGTATACAGGAACAAGCAGCTGGAAGCGACTTTTCTATACTGTGTAGTGATATTTCTATAAATATGTTTATAGTCTATATTGATATTATAAATAATTCAAAAACTACTGGGCTGATAACAAAAATTCTTTCATCATCAAAAAGCTACGTTAACAGTGAGCAACATAGGCTATGTGATTTCACGGTGACGAAGTCGCGAGCAATACTATAAAACGATTGTTTTCTATACATCGGTGACTTAATTTATTGATTAATTTATCTTATTTTATTCAACTTACCAAGTGCATATCTGATAGTCAATTGATTCTGAAGTTCGATCTTACTAAAGATGCCCCAACTGGACTTTCCTTCTGGGATCGGATTGTTTCTGATCCATCCACCGCAAGCGAACTCGTAAAAATCATCGCAAGGGTTCTGTGTCTCATCTAGAGCTCTTATTACCTCACTGGCAGTGTAGATACACGAACTGGAGAGACATACGTCCGATTCTGAAATACAAACAGTAGATCTTCACTATTATTTGGACAAAGAGATTAAAAAATATAGAAGAGGCATTTGATACTTCACTTGAATCATTTTTCAAATATCTCACTAACACTGTCTATTGATAAATCCTCAAAACATCTCATACTAGAATTATAAATGCGAAAAATTAAATGTATGGATGGATGGATTTTTGCTAAACGGCTAAACGGATCTCGATGAAGCTTGGCACATGCGAGTACATAGTCTGGAAGAACTTATACATCACTTTTGTTTTTTTTTTCTTTAATTCCATGGGGAGTCGCGGGCGAAAAAAGTTAACGTCACTCTAATTAGTTATGTTTTAATTATTTGCCAATAGTTGTCAATAAATAATATTTAAATGTTAACTTCTTATTTCATCGCACTATTCATAATAGCTTATTACATTTTTGTAAAAAGTTTTTATGTCAATACAAGGACACGCGGTGGCACTAAACTTGACAACTGACATAGTACCTTTTAGGGAATGTACCGATGAAAAAAATTTGTTCACTATGCTTAGTTTATACATTTTTAAATGTCTTCGCCTGGACGCCAAAGTGGTTATCTCTTTCATTCTTTAAGAATAAAACAGAGATAATAATAGTTTTACATAGTAGTATTTGGTTAATACGTCAGAATTTTCGTGTCTGAAACATTATATGTTTGATGTTTAAATGGAAACTCACTGTAACTGTAATGAATATTACTTAGATTATATATTCAATTATTGTCTGTACTATACAGAATGATTCTACAACGAAGGCTGTAAACAATTGCTACGTTACGCTCGAGGAAATTTACACCCATAGCATTGTAATGTACTGAGCGATTCCAATTTAAATATATGTGCACGATAAGTAAGAAAACCAAACATTTTATAATCGTTTTTAGTTTTTACTGGATTTTTAGGGTGAAAATGTGTAATAATAATAAATATGAACATAGACGTTGAAAGACACTTTGTAATAAAACATTCTTGATTCGTATTTACATCACTTAAGGTGGAAAAAAAAACTTCGGAAACTTGTTTTTCTACTAATTCAGTAAGACAAGGAAAATGTTTTTAAAGATGCTGTATTCACTATTTTATCAATTTATATTATCTTGTTTGTACGAGAACTAAAGTAATTATTTAGAATCGCTACCGCTTATTAGTATAACCAAAACTTTAGGCTTATACAAATCTCATCTGACCTTGTGTTCTTGAGGGTCAGTCCGCCCTTCGTATACCCTCCCTTGTCGCTAATTCTCTGTCCAATCGACTAGAAAACGACAATAAACATTCTCCCATCCCCTATTTCGCTTAATACTTGGTCGATGTTTTGATATTCAAGTCTTTGCATGTAAGAAATTTTCCACTTGAATAGTTTTCCTTATTTTGTGTTAATTTTATAGCTACTTTGTATAACAAAAGGTCCATTATTTTTATAGTTACATGTAATTTATAATTGAATTTGTAGCTAATGTTTATGCGAGGATCTGGCCACGTGCGAGTTATAATATGCCGTGCTATTCGCTTAGTGGAAACAGGGTTTATTGTACCTGCAGGCTCGGGTCTGTAGCACGGAGGTACTGGTAGATAGGAAGGACTCCTGACGAGCACCAATATGCAGGTAGTCAGTAATGTCGCTAAGAGCAGAACAGCACAGCAAACAAGCAGAACTCTTTCTAGCTTGGTGCGCTGGTGCCATCCTATCAGTGATACACCCTGGAATGTAAAAAAGTCAATATAAAAACAAAAGAATAAATAAAAGAAAAGCAGTTGTTTTTATTCCTATTTTCTCAAAGAATAGATAACAATGCTCCTAATGAATTACATCCTAATATTAAAAAAAGACAATAAAATAAAACACAAACGAGGAACTATCTCCCATCTTGTTAAATGAATACGAAGGGAGAACTATTATTGACTGTCATGTTTATTATCTATACTACGAGTATTATAATAAAGCGTAAACACACACTTCTTTGTTGCCTAAGATGTCATCAATCACAGCATATTTTCGAATAACTTTTTTTTTTAATAAATAGCCCGACACTTATGTACGTCACGCTTTAGGCTATATATTTTCACGCCATACAACTTAGGAGGTAAATATTTTGGATAAAAACCCTAATGTGGGAAAGAGACCATAAGTTGCTGCCAACATCAAGGAAGCAAGATTGCCATGGTAAGGTATTTTGACATTTGCAATTGAGAATTTGACAAATGCAAACAATAATTTACAATTTCATGCGGATGAAGTCGCACGCGAACAGCTAGTAGTAAGTAGCTAGTATCTTATATGGGAGAGTAGATTTGCATTAATAGTTGTAACTCGATTGTATACGGGTCGAGTGACGCACAATCACATTTGAATTACGCAGCGACTATATACCTACAGAATATAAGCAAACCTGTACTTTGTAAATAAAAATAAACCTTTATTCCCAATCCTACTTTATTTGTCCTTCTAAGATTTAGGGTGTAAATTATATAGAACTAGCTGTACCTCGCGATTTCGCCCGCGTAAAATTAAATAATATAGCCTATGTTACTCACAGATAAATTATCTTTTTAATAAAGAAAGAATTATTGAAATCGGCCTAGTAGTTTTTGAGTTATTTCAGTACATTCAAAAATAGAAATCTTTCCTCTTTATAAAATTAGTATAAAAGTATAGATAGATTTTGTCGCTACTAAAATCAATTAATAGATATCCCGAATTCAATAAACATATCTTTATTTATATACTAGCTTAGCCCGCGACTCCGTCCGCGTGGAATTAAAAAAACAAAAGTGAGTAGCCTATGAGTTCTTCCAGATTATCCTCTACATCTGTACCTTTCACCAAAATCCGTTCAGCCGTTTAGGCTACAAACTCAGAAAAATACCCATCCATCTAAATTTATAATATTAGTAATATTATCTTTCTATATAGCAATTTTTTTAGTAAAAAAAAAAACATTTTTTGTCCACGAATTCGCATGAAATTAAAAAAGTAACTAGCCTATGTGTTCTTTCAGGCTGTCCCCTAAACCTTTATCAAACATCGAGATCCGTTCAGCAGTTTAGGTTCTCTAAAAAACATCCATCTTTTTTTTAGTATCGGGGGAAATCTTCGAAAGATACCCTGTCTTTTTCTATAAAAGGGTTATGTGACATTTCTACTCACTAAAAACAACCTCGGTGGTCGCTCTCAGTTGCGATTTGAGGGTCCCTAGATCTCCAGTGGCACGCATCGGCACCCTCAACAACGATAACAAACATCCATCTATCTAAACTTTCACATATTAGATAAAAATTATACATACGTGTATCTTCATTTTATCAAGCAGATCCAAAGGTATGTCATAGCACGACGACAACCAGCCATCAAATAGTTACATTGCTTCACAAAGAGATGGTACGAACGCTATTCTGAGAGTAATTTATGTGATATTCAAATTTAATAGACCCTTCACACCATTATGTGTGCACGTTTTGTGCGATATACAATATTGTTATTATATACTACCTTGCGCCCGCGACTCTGTCCGCGTGGAATTATAAGTAAAATTAACTAGCCTATGTGTTCTTCCAGAGTATCGTCATTGGCTTAGCAGTTTAGGCTACAAACTCTAACAAACATCCATTTTTTTTTTTTTGTGACAGATTTGTCACTGTTTGCCTTGAAGAGGCATTTACAGATTCACCGGGCTTGAGGTGGCCCAGCGCGGATGGCGCTTAGCCTAAACCTCTTTTAAGAGTACTAGGCTCGAGGGCTCCCTCAGGAGCCTCGGCTCGGGCCGTTACTTCGTTATTATTACCGGATTGGGAGGCCACCGAGCTCTTAGATCGCTTCGGTGGTCGCTCCATGGTATGACTTAGCACAAGGGTCCCCGAGAGGGGACCTCGGCTTGGGCTGTCACTCAATACGCGTTTAGCATTCCGATTCAAGGGCGCCCGAGAGGGCCGAACCTCGACTTGATCGGTTGCTGCTATCTGATCATTATTAAAACATCCATTCATCTAAACTTTTGCATTTATAATATTAGTATGATTGTCACTTGTCGTGTTATTCCACGGTTGTATAAAAACATATAGTTGTCTCAGTATCTTCCACAGGGAATAAATGAGACAACGATATCATTGTTGAAGATTTTATACCAGTAGACACTAATAGCTAAAATAACACTTTATAATTTAGCTACATATTATATATGTTCAAATATATTTATTTGTATTTTGTGCATGTTACTATCGAAACCCTTAAAAATTATAATTTAATATTACTACGTACAAGTATTCTAAAAGAATCTTATAAATTCAGCAAAATTTAAGTACCATCTTAACTAAAGGTTATCTTCAAATATATTGTTTAAAGGACAAAATCTGCCACTTGATATTCTACCAAAATGAAGTATCTTAAAGTATATTGGAATAATGTACCTTCAAAGTAGGCTCTTAGAGTATAAAAAGGCACTTATAAAATAAGAGCTATATAATGTAAATGGTTCTCAAACTTCAATAGATAATAAAAATTAAATCATAAAAATACGGCTTTTTAATGCTCTTTTAAAAATAAAGAGATCTTGAAACAATTTTTAAATAATAAAATATTGTTATTAAATAATCTTTCGATCTAAAAGAAATTATACTAATATTATAAATGCGAAAGTTTAGATGGATGGATGTTTGTTAGTTTGTAGACTGAACGGCTGAACGGATTTCGATGAAATTTGGTATAGATGTAGGTGATGGTCTGGAAGAATACATAGACTACAGTTTTGTTTTTTTTAATACCACGCGGACGGAATCGCGGGCGAAAGATAGTAACTTAATAAAATCGTTAACCCAATCAGGTAGTTTTAATGCTTCGTTCAAATCGTTAATTAAATAACGTTAACGTATTCTAGTATTATTTTAATAAGAATTTAATTTCTATTTCTATTAGAGATAACGTAAGGCCAGTTGTGACGTTGTCCGAATAAACGTTAATTGTTTTTGGGCTAGATAACATAATGAGGTTATTGACCCATAGTCCATAGTTGACATTTTACTATTTTAAACTAAGTTACACTTGCTGATAAAGTGAACAAAGTTTACTATATTCATCTAATCAGTATGCTATAGAAAAGTACTTCTTTTTTCTTTAAAACTTGTTGCTCGCGACTTATCCCACGTGAAAAAAAATAGTAAAAAATATAGCCATGTTACTCAGTGATAACATAGCTTTTTAGTGCTTCAAAAATTTTTGAAATCGGACCAGTAGTTATTGAGTTATTCCAATTCATAAAAAATCCAAAAATGCAAACCTTTCCTCTTTATAATATTAGTATAGACATACTTCTTTCTATCTCACTAAAGAAATAGGAAAGTTTGGAATAGAAGTGTTACCACTAGCTTCCAGAAAGGCTAAATATATAAATTGGGAGATATATTCTAGAACATTCTAGAAATAATACATCTTTTCACGATAAAATATCTAATCTCTATTTCTTAGGTCTTATTAGATTTGTTTTTATTTTTCACATAACTGGAGAAAAGTGTTTTTATATAAATAATATTGAAAATTCTCTGACATGGATGAGTCAATACTTTTGTTATATCTGTTATAGTTACATATTTTTATTTATTCTTTCTGTTTCAATAAGGCCTTAAGTCATTGAAATGTTATTTCTGGTAATTGTTCTGTTGCTTACGTCATATGTTTATCGATAAATGAACATGTGTTGAACATCACTATTATGGTTAGATATGTGCGAGTGAGAGGTCCTATTATTTTACTCTTATATTATAAATGCGAAAGTATAGATGGATGGATGTTTGTAACCTAAACTGCTGAACGGATCTTTTTTTTTTTTTTTATAACATAAGGTGGCAAACGAGCAATCGGCCACCTGAAACCGCCAAAATGGCGAAGCGACCGCTGCCCATAGACATCCGCAATTGCAGATGCGTTGCCTACCCTTATACGACGGAGGAGGAGATGCACATAAAGAGGATATTTCCCCTTCCTATGCATCTCCCCCACCGTCAAATCCACTTCCTCTTCTCGATGAAATTTAGCATAAAATAGCAAAGGAAGAACACATAGGCTACTTACTTTGTTTTTTATTTTAGGTTGATGGAGTCGCGGAGGTAAGCTAGTTATTTATATCTCGGGAATTCAATAGGGAACTATCAAACAAAAATTAATCGAATAATGAATTATCGATACCTACTTCTGTTATTGTTAAACTGGTAAATCCAGATTTACTCTTGCAAAAAGGAGTGTTTTTTTTTAAATAAATAAGGTTATAAACGAACAAGTGGCCACCGGAATAAAATAACGAAGCGGCTGATGCTGACACTGCATTTGCTGACTAATTTAACAGATGAGGGGACGCTCTAAAAGGGGATATTTCAACTATTAATGTGTCCCATTTCCTCCAAATCCGCTTCCCATTCCAGGACAGGATTGTACAAAAATTGTGAAAAGGAAAAGAGAACAAAATTACACATACGGTAAGCATGAGTTTTATGTGAATAGATAAAGCAACTAAACTGAAGATGGACCAACATTTTATAAGTCAATAGAACCACACCCTCTGACATAGGCTAGTCTACTTTATGGATTATATTCCCGCACTATTTACACGGCGAATTGGTCGTAAATATAAATTACACAAGTATAAACGTATTGGATTGTGTCAAGGGCACAATACGCAAGCGTACGTATGAGAATTTGCTGAAAACTGAAATAAGGATGGATAAATAAGATATAGAAATACTATCAGTATTGAATATGATAATTCTTTACTTTGGAATTAAAATGTTTTGATTGTATAAATTGAATTGATTGTAAATGATACATTTCCATATAAACAACGCGAATTTTAGATGGATGTTTGTTTGTTACAGTTTGTAACCTAAACTGCTGAACAGATCTCGATGAAATTTGGTATAGATATAGAGAATAGTCTGGAAGATAACATGGGCTATTCACTTTTGTTTTTCAATTCCACGCGAGCGGAGTCGCGGTCGGAAGTTAGAATAAAATAATGGACAGATATGCCAGAAACAAAGGCAACTTGTGGTCCTTCGAGCCAGATTAATAGTTAACGATTTATTATTAGAAAACATTTAAAAACTAAATACGTTATCTGGATAAAAAAAGGTTATACATTTAAATAGATAACATAGCATTACTATTAATCAAACATGGTATTCATGGGTTTTACTTTCCTTTGGTTGTCAATCACTCACAATAAAAACATCTACATCTCTAAGCGACTAATATCTTCTTTAGACTTTAGTTATTTTTTTATATAATATAAGGTGGCAAACGAGCAAGCGGCCATCTGAATCCACCGAAATGGAAAGCGACCGCTGCCCATAAACATCCGCAATTGCAGATGCGATGCTTACTCTTAATTGACGGAGGTGGAGACGCACATAAAGAGGATATTACCCCTTCCTATGCGTCTCCTCCACCGTCAAATCCACTTTTTCTTCCCACCCTTTCCTCTTAAGAAAAGGTTGGAAAAGAAAAGGGACTAAAATTATTATATTACTAGCTTTTGCTCGTGACTTCCTCCGCATGCAATTAAAAAATAATAAAAGACATAGCCTACTCATAGATAAATAACCATTCTAATGGTTAAAGAATTTTTGAAATCGGCCAAGTAGTTTTTGAGTTATTCCAATGCATACAGAAATACAAATCTTTTCTCTTTATAATATTGGTATAGATTACTTTTAATTTCACCGTCTATAAACGAAGGTAAACATTTACGTGTATCGAATTGAAAACATTCTGCTCCGAAATACCGAAGTGGTGTAAAAATAACACGGCGCGAAGTGTTGGCAGTAACATGGGGACTAACTGACCGGGTAATTGAGCAATTTGTCGGACAAACTAAGTTTTGAAAGTGAAATTAATGTTAATTTTATTAATTACTAGCTTTTCCCGTGCGACTTCATCCGCATATTTGTCAAATTATCAATTACAAATGTCAAAATGACATGACGACAACCTTGCTTCCTTGATGTTGGCAACTTATGGTCTCTTTCCCACATTAGGGTTTTTATCCAAAATATTTACCTCTAAGTTTAACGGCGTTAAAATATATAGCCTAAAGCGTGATGCAAGTCTAGGGCTTTTTATTAAAAAAAGAATTATTCAAAAATATGCTGTGATTGCTGACATCTTAAGCAACAAAGAAGTGTGTGTTTACGCTTTATTATAATAGTATAGATATATATACGTGTATGCTATCATTTTAGTCCCTTCATTAATGTCCAATAATCACTCAATCCATATTATACTTATTTGCATCGTTTAATTAAAAATTGCAGAAAATAACACTATTTTATTGTCTCTACTCCTTTTATTTTACCCTCGGTAACAGAAATAAGAAATATGCGTATTAAATATAAGGGATATGGAAAAGGAAATATTAACATCTACATCTGACTTAAACAAATATTATTTTTAGTTCTTGATATGTAAATTATATCAATATATTTGGAAGAAAATCTGTGACGTCAACGTCTGTTTAGTATCCGTCTTCCGCCTTACGCATACGAGAGGCTATTCAAGGCAGATAATGTCGTAGATGCTAAATATTTGTTGAATTTGTTATGAATTTCCTTCTTACGTTTTTGTATTTACGTTTATATAGATTAGGCGAACAGTTTTTAATGAATGTGACAGTTGAATATCGGCTCGAAGGACCAAAATTTTTTAGAAGACACGACTGAATAGCAGGAATAAATGATGTAATTGATTGATTAAGAAAGAAATACTAATTATTAAATAATAAAATAATCTATACTATTATAATAAAGCGTAAACACACATTTCTTTGTTGCCTAAGATGTTAGCAATCACAGCATATTTTTGAATAACTCTTGTTTTAATAAAAAGCCCTACACTTCCGTTACGCTTTAGGCTATATATTTTCACGTTATTAATCTTAGGGCTAAATGTTTTGGATAAAAACCCTAATGTGGGAAAGAGACCATAGGTTGCTGCCAACATCAAGGAAGCAAGACTGCCAAGTTTTGTCATGTCATGTCATTTTCACATTTGCAATTGATAATTTGACAAATGTAAACAATAAAATGATACTTTTTTTAATTTGATGCGGATGAAGTCGCATGGGAACAACTAGTCAGAAAATATAACTTTTACATGAGATAGTCAAGAATCTAAATAATGAAAGATTTATGGATGGTGGTGAAGTGGAGTTATATTTTAATTCAACCAGTGAATTTTGCGATAGGAGCTCGCCACTTATACAGCAACAATGAGCAGTTAGGAGTCTAGGCAAAATGTCACAAGTAATCCTATAATGTCTTAATCCGATCGTCTTTATGACGTCATATTACAAATATAAAGTTTCTACACCTTATATCAATAAGTAAACATAATGTACAAATTGCGAGATCCCTGGACCCTTACAGTCGCACTTGATGGCTAACGAGAGGGTCTCAGTAAGTAGAAATCACATAACCCTGTCCTCTAAAAGGGAGACATATCAACCACCCTCCTCCCGAAAAAAAAATAAACTAACTTAATGTAAGGAAACATTTATATATAGTCATCTTTATTTGTATGGGGTTTCAACACAATGGAAACATCCATTATCTTTGTTCCCACGTGAGAGTAGTACAAAAGAATATTTCTGTAAAATGAAATAAAATGGATAAAGCGTTCTGCGCCACAATAATTCTAATAGGTAGAGATGAATTTATATTTGGTAAAACGTGCAGTGTTACTTTAGTAAGTCAGAGTTCAAGAGATCGTAATACTCATCTCGCTTTGGTTTCTAGTTTACGGAGATCGATTGTACATTGGTTATGAACATTAAATAATTAGTTAGTTTTTTATATAGTCTGTAACTGGTTATACTAATAACTACGTCTAAAACGTGCCCTATCACCATTGCCAATATGTCTTGCTATATTTTGCGTTTAAATTTTTGACCGACTTCCCAAAAAGGAGGTACTCAATTCGTCTGTATGTTTATTTTTTATAATCCTACCTTCTTATATCCTTGAGAGTTTTCCGGCTTAGGAGCTGTTTCAAAAAGGTTCAGTCTTGAATTTTGAAAGAAATCTTGACTTGAGTTTTCTCTTGAGAACAATTCAGCGGTCGAGCTTTCTCTTGTTAATGACGGACGAGGTTTTACGAAAGGATTATTCCTTGCGTTCCTGCTTTGTTTGAGCCAGTTAAATTTGTTTATCACTTCAGGTGCGGGCGAAGGGGATGGGGTGTCATCCGAGGTGTCGGTAGACGGTGATGGTGGCTCTTGTATTGATGCCATTTTTAATATCTCGATGACACTTAAACACTTCGCGATTGTTAGTAATCTAAGCTGCTTTATAATACTTTATATGGTTTAGTTGTCACTAAATTGAAAACATGTTATAAATTTTTCTGATAGAATTTTCTGAAAATTTTATTTCCCGCCAATCATAGTGGTCACCGACATCTCTGAACGCTCGAAGTGCAAGGTTATTTCGTATAAACAACTATAGAGATCACGTATCGCGGACTGTTTATAATAAAACGTGCCTAAATAATTTATTTTTGTACCGCGGACATGTGATGCGTCGCGCGTGTCGGACTGAACTGAATCGTCTCTGTGTTTACATCGGCGCGTGCGCATGCTGTAACCTATCGAGATTATGGTGACCATTTATCAGAAATTTCACGGTTTTTCTTTTACAGAAAATGTACCAGGAATTTAGAAGCGATGTTAGTAAAACTCACAGTGTTATCTTATTTATTTATACATAATTTATTTAGGAACTCATTTTTCTTAGTTATACTAAGGTAATACCAATTATTAAAGACTAGATTTCGCCCGCGACTCCGTCCGCGCGGATTAAAAAGAAACAAAAGCAAGTATCCTATGTGTTCTTCCAGACCATCCTCTATATCTAAGCCAAATATCATCGAGATCTTTTTAGCCGTTCAGGCTACAAACACTAACAAACATCCCTCCATCCATCGAAACCTTTACATTTATAATATTAGTAAGATGTAAAAAAGATTACATTAGCGAAAGTAATAAGATATACATACATTAGCTTTAAATAAACTTTACAAAAATATTGTGTCCTAAAACGTTCTTCCCATATGGCCACACAACAATATAAGTTCAGCTTTTGTACTCACTACTGTATCTCTTATCTATGCCAACTAGCGATAGATTTACGAATGTTTGGGGCCGTGTTGGGATAATTTGCATCAACATGTATCCGATATAAGATACAAAACGTTATTTATATATTTACATATTTATATAATACTGGACGTCAATTCCTTCAATGGTTTATGAGTTATGAAAACATAAGTAATAGATACAGAAGGACAAACTCATTCATGATTTTTAGTTCGCGTTTGTTAGATTCATGAAGGGTTAATAATACTCCACATTTAGACAGCACGCTCCCCTTAGTCTTCTTAAGATTTCACTGTGCTACGTGCGATATGCGACGCTTACAAACCACGAAATGACTTGTCGGGAATGACTTATGTAGCCATCTTACTTCTTACTAATATTATAAACTAGCTGTTGCCCGCGACTCCGTCCGCGTGGAATTAAAAAAACAAAAGTAAGTAGCCTATGTGTTTTTCCAGGCTATCCTCTACATCTGTACCAAATTTCACCGAAATCCATTCAGTCGTTTAGGTTACAAACTCTAACAAAAATCTATCCATCCATCCATCCATCTAAACTTTCACATTTATAATATTAGTTAGATGGATGGATGGATGCTTGTTAGAGTTTCAGGCTACAAAATCCGTTGATTTCGATGAAATTTGGTATAGATGTAAAAGATAATCTAGAAGAACACATAGGCTATTCGCTTTTGTTTTTTTCAATCCCACGCATACGGAGTCGCGGGCGAAAGCTAGTATTGTAATATTTTGGAAATAAGGAATTAAAAAGAAGTTTCGCATCTTACTCTTTCTAATATACTAATTAAAAAATATCAATTAAATTAAAATCTGCTGAAACTATTAGAATTAAAATAAAACTGATGAGATAATTCTTTATCTGTATGTGCTTGCTATAATTATTTATTTAAACAAAAGGAATAACTGACAATAGAAAGCAGTGAATTAAACTCAAAAGGATTCCGTTGAAGGAGCTTGAAAATGCTTTCAAAAGCAACCCTTAAAAATACCTCGGATTGTACAAAGGCGTTGCGAGATCCAAAGGTATAGTGCTATCCAAACTTTAAGACTGTTCGTGGTTAGCAAAGATATGATAAACGCCAAGTGAACCGTCAGGAATGTACCGCATCCCTTTATATCCATGGTTAATCAAATTTAAATTCAGCGCAGTGTGTGAAATTCCGAGCTGCTATTTTGTTTGAATCTGGAAATACTCTGTACAATACCGACTAAGCCGAACACCAGTTGAAAAGGCTTCTGTTTTTTAACAATTGAATTTTGAATAAGGCGCATATTTAGAGTAATAAAATTGCAGTGTCTGTTTGTAACGTCAAAAGAAAAATTCCAGATTTCGGGAAAATTATGTATTTGCATTGCTGATGGCAAAAAAATCATTTAAAAACTTTTTCTCAGTCTGTCTGTCTGCAAGCCGCGTTTGTTCCGGGTAGTCTCCGAAAAGATGGTCCGATTTCGACCGGACTTTCACTGAAGGGTAGTTGACATAGACGGGCATATTATACGCTACTTTTTTATCTTATCCTGCACGATATCGGGAGCAACAGCTAGTTCAGAGTAATTTTGTAGTTATTTATGCCATCATTAAATGCAGCACTAAAACGGTAAAGATATTGAATACTAGCTATCCCCGTGCGGCTTCATCCGCATGAAATTATGAAAATTTTATTTTATTTACATTTGTCAAATTATCAATAGCAAATGTCAAAATGACATAACATAACAAACCTTGGAAATCTTACTTTCTTGATGTTGGCAGCAACTTATGGTCCCTGTCCCACATTAGCGTTTTTATCCAAAATATTTACCCCCTAAGTTTAATGGCGTCAAAATATATAGCCTAAGCGACCGTTCGCACGGGCAGACTTTGTACGCCGCGGTAAAGTTCAAGGTCAGCAGACTTTTTACGCCTACGAGAT